TTTTTTTTTTTTTTTTTTTCGAACAGTCACTGTACCGGCTGTACCGGCCAGCAAGAGCCAGAGAGGGGGAGAAAGATGGACAGACGGGTCTTATGGGCCGTATTCAGAAGACGCGTTACACTTGTTGGCCTCGCTTTGTCCAGGATCGCACGCCGCGTTACGGCTGCCATTATTCATCGCGTAAGGGGTTGTCTATTCCATAGATCCCATCCTCCACCGATCCTCTCCTTCCTCCGCCGATCCTCTCCTTCCTCCGCTGAATGGAGAAATAATAAAGCGGGCGGTGATGGAACTGTTGTGGGAGAGCGTAGCTGTTGAAATTCGTAGCCAAGAGAAATTCGAGAAAATATTGAATCATCGAGCATCGTGAAGAATCATCTATGGAATATTCGAAGGATATATTTCGGGAAATTGAAATCGAAACAAGAGACTGTATATTATAACCGGTGTTGCAAAATTAATTTCCACGTTGCGGTAATAATAAACGCAATTGATATTCATTGTTTCGGAGAACAATGAATAGTACGTCTTTCGCGGGGATATGATGGAGCATTATGCCGTTCCTTTATTCATTCGTTCGATCAATGACACACTATACTCTGCTGGACACGATAAAAGAAATTATGGTGAAATTATACGTACGTCCAATGTATCCATTCCGTGCATCCCTTTATTCTCTTGATTATTTCATTTTAATTTCATTATCAAAATATAACGTAATGGATAATCGTTACACGGTGAAAATCAATCAAGGATCTATTCTCGGATCGCGCACGTTCGTTAGATTCGTTTCTATTTTCTGAGAGATTAAAAAAAAAGAGAAAAGAAATCTTAAAGATTCGAAGAGACGCGAAGATGAACGCGTGCACCTCGGCAACCTTTGAACACACGTAGGTAATGACAGGGTGTGGAGAGCTGCCAAGGTCGTACGTATAAATATCCTGGCCCGGGTGGAGGTAATGATTTCGGGCGCGTGTTGGCCCGGGCCATAAATTCTGGGCCCATTTACGGGACAGATGTGCCGATAACTCGAACGCGGCCTCGCGCCCACAACCCCTTTCGAATTTGGATCTTCGTGAAAGAGGCTACGTCTGACACCGATAATTATTAACGATGGTTAAGACTTAAGAGAAGAGAAGTAGTGGTTAAGACGCGTCTGTCGAAGGTAATAACCTCGTGGTTTACGCGTATTATTTTTCAACCGATGAGGAACGGTTCGAACGTTTTCATTATGAAGCAGTTGCGCGTTTTATTTCTCTTCTTCTTCTTCTTCTTCTTCTTCTTCCGTAAGCCTTTCTTGCTACCAGAACGACATAACGCGGAGAAAGCAATCGTTTTATTTAAATGGAAAGAAAAAAGAAAAGAAATCTTTTGAAGGTTTTCAAATTCAGAAAATAGAGAGATCCAAAGGATAACAATATAAATATCCGAAGCACGGATATTTATTCCAATACCATAATTCATCGCTCTTCGAGATACGATCTTCCTTCTTCTAAGTGCAACGATAGATAAAATATTCACAGTTCAAACAAAACTTTCCATTCGCCGCGTGTTTCATCGCGAACTCGCAAGCTTTATGATTTCCTCGTCTATTATTCTTATCTTTCCTTGGTTGAATCCACACACACATACACACACACTCGCCACAAAATCTCTCGTAGGAAAAAGGATAGCTGGCGTCATTAATAAGCGCAACACCTTCGTCCGTTTCGACCCACGTCTTCATTAGCCGCGCGCCAACCGAGAAGTCCATTAGTTTTCCGGGCCCGCGACACGTGCATCATTAGGAATGATATTTAATTAAGGGCGCGGAAATAATTGGAAAATATTCCATGGATGGTTTTCGTGTCGAGCCGCAGGGGCGCGTCTCCGGTCCACGTTGGCGTAATTAAAACTGTGGGATCGTTACGCCTGCGTTTTACCTTTCTCCGTGTGCGCACGTGTGCACGCGCGGCAAAGCGGATTTTTCCTCGATGACTCGTCCAAACGTTTGCGCGTGGGACTCGCGCAGGTGCATCTTCCATCCTTCGATCCTTCTTTGTTCAACTTTTTTTAACGCGCCTCGAGGAAATCGTTGCTTCCTCATTTTTCCCCAGTTACGTGATTTGCATCTTAATTCATCCGTTAATCATCATCCGTCGTTAGTCCCATTATTAATATCAAAAGGGTGTATCCACAGAAAATTATTGAATCGATGTGGAAGAAGTCCATAGGCAAATGATCGTGAGAATCTCCAAGAATAATTGTTTTCCAGATATCGCCTTCCATCTTCCATCCTCATACTTTCCTCTAATATACTTGCCAATGCGTTAACCCAATCGCCACCATCGCCAATTCTCGATCCTTGAACGCTCGTTTAGCCTCGAACGGTTCGTAAAAACTCGGTTCGTACGAAATCGATAAAAAGTGGAAGAGCCGTTACACCTACCGGTAAGCGGATTGGTATCTCGGCCCCCTGTCAGCTCCACCTTCCACCTTCGTTTCCTTATTGTATGGATGTTCCCGCGTGGCCGTGGTCGCACAAGGTATCCTCGCAAAGAAGGCCGAGGATTGCGTGCTCCACGGAGGTGAAACTAATAACACCGGCGTGGCCGCTCGCCTCTCGGCAAACACGCAATTACGGGCGGCACGGTGCGCCATGAATCCAGCTACCGCATTACGGGATCCGCCGAACGAAATCTCCTTCCTCCATCGCGCGCACGCGGCCAAAAAACCCATCGTACGTCTCTTCCGCCCAATCGTGTCGGCCCAAGTCTTTAAGGTTTTCCTGCCTTAAAAAGATCGCCAATAAAACTGCCTCCTTCACTTTTTTCTTTTTTTTTCACTCTCACTTCGAGGGGGATCCGGTTAATTAAAGTTGATTATGAATCAATCCAAGATGATCGAAGGGATCCTGGTCCTCTTTTTTCGAGCTTTGAACTTCGAGTTTTAAATTTTTGGATTGTAACGATACGAGAAACTTTTTTCGTAGCTATTAATTTTACATAGTGAATATTTGATGGAATTATTTTATTCGGTTATATAAATTTTACGTGTATATTGAAAATGTATGTTCGCGTGGATATGGTCGCGTAGATAATGTCGCGGCAAATTTGTATACAATAATAATACTGAGTCACTTTGTGTTTATATATTTCGTTTATATATTTCGGTTAAATAGTTTCGAGCGTTCGTGTTTACATTTGCGAGAATTTCGTAGAAATTCGAATTTCCAAGAATTCGAGCCGAGCTCGCCGCCTCGGGACAAAAACGACAACACATGGCGTCATTCTGTTTTCGAAAGTCGTAGTGATAAGACGTATCGTTCGACGCGAGGTACGCAGTTATTTCACGGTTATTATTTATAATTTTTATAAGTATTGCGCACTTCTCTTTTGTTCGGTTAACAATTCACGTGTTTGTTTAACAATTTATCGTACAATAATTGTTCGATTAATACGTAATTCGTGTAACAAATGGACGCTCGTGTTAATAGTTAACTTTTTATTATTTTTTTCTTTGCAAATATTCGTTTTCGGTACAGTGTAGTAGAGTCAGTGCTTGTTTCAAGACAATTAGGCGATCATCCATCACCCGAAGAGGTATTATCTTTTTATTTACGATTTATATTATATTCTTACACGATGATATATGAATATTTTTCTTACAATTTATTTTATAAATCACAATTTTTATTTTTATTATAGTTCGAAGTTTTATACAATTCCATTTTACATTATTTCGAAATTTTCAAATAATCAACAATGTATTTTAAGATAAAAATCGTAATATGATATTTTATATTTTTGTTAAAGATACGCACATCCTTTCGATTTATCTACAGGATCAGTATTTTCTCAACTCGAGGCGAAGAGGCAAATATTTTATCATTTCCTACAATTTATTTAATCTTATTGTATCTCGTCTTATTGAAAAACACGTAGAAAGAGATATGAAATATTTCTCTTCGAAAAATTATTCTGGAAAAATATTACTTCAGAATACTTAATTGTATATTTATACATCGATTTTCGCGTATAAATAAATAATAAATAAAAGCGAATTCAATCGAAAAAAACGAAAATCGATGTATGGACGCGTCTCGCCTCGTTATACTTTTCCCTTTTCGTATCGATTGTGCGAGCATCGTGAATCACGAATGTGGGTGATTTCCTCTTGCGAAATGAACGTCCCACGTACAGTTATCCGCGGCATGCATTTAACAGAGCGACATTTAATCCGGCCCCCGATCGGGTCAACCGTCTGTATTGCATAACGCGCAGGTGACATCGCGGTGCCCTCGCGGCGTGCCTGCGTTTAATACGTACGCGTTTCTTCCCGTCGCGTGCGTGTATGTCACGTCATTACCATGCTCGCAAGAGGACCTCACACTCGCCGCTATGTCGCGTGATCACCGCGTGGGCTAAAACTATCCGCGATGCGATGTCGCATAATACGGGACTCGTCGTAACGACACGTGATTTCGTCGTGTTTCGAAACGGACGCCTTCCTTCCGGTTCACCTCTTCTTCGATAACGATCCGCCCCATTACCTTTATTTTTTATTCTTTAGCTTTCTTCTGGGACGTGACACGAAGAGAATTTAGGATTTAGAATTTAGAATTTAGAATTTAGAGTTTAGAATTTAGAATTTAGAATTTAAAATTTAAGATTTAGAATTTAGAATTTAGAATTTAGAATTTAGAATTTAGAGTTTAGAGTTTAGAGTTTAGAATTTAGAATTTAGAATTTAAGATTTAGAATTTAGAATTTATAATTTAGGATTTAGAATTTAGAATTTAGAATTTGGAATTTAGAATTTTAGAAAGAGATGATTGGAAAATTCAGTAACGTACTGGACATTAGAAATTTTATATTTTCTTCATCTATAGATAAAATTTTCGATTTTTATTTTTCTTTCAAACTTTCTTTCGAAATTACGAAAGAATAAGAAGAACAAGAAGAGGACAAGGAGGAGGAGGAGGAGGAGGAAGAAGTTGAAGATGCTATAAATTTTGCGTTACAACTTTATTACACAATTTTTGAAACGCACGCGCGATCGTTTATCCGGAGCAAGGCAAATCGCTTAGGCATCGCCTGATGCGTTTCCAGGGCCCAGGCTTATCTGTCGTGGTTCGATAAATCGAGGCAGAAAGCGAGTCTGAATAAACGAGACAGCCTCGTAATACACGCTCCACCGTCGTGCCCGTGGATACGCGAAATAAACGATCCGCGGGTCAGGCATCGCCAACATCGGTGTGTAGGCGACTTACGTGGATTAAGTTATGGTGGACCTTGCTGCGTGCATGGTGCAACACCCGTGATCTTTTGCACCGTGTGTTGCTAGTCGATACCTCGTCGGATGCTCGTAGATCGATCGTTGGCGATAGCTGCTTTCCTCTCTCATCCCCTTCCTCCCTGTTCGAAGGACGGAAAGCAAGAATGAAATTTCGCTGAATGAACGGCTATGAATGCAAAGCCTATTCGTTGAAACGCGCAACATCTAGCTATCTATGGAAGGGGATGCGGAATAGATTTCTATTCATCCGTACGAAAGTATACGGAAAGATAATTATTTATCTTTAAAAAGTCGAGATTTGTAATATTCGATTTTTAAAAATTTCAGCAAATTAATAAATTTCTTTTAAATTTTTTTACTCGAATTATGTAGAATCGTAAGCCACGTATACATAATTCGATCATCGTTCATTTCAATTTTTCACGAATTATTTTTTCTACAATTTCCTTTGAATATTCCAAATCGAGGCTCACTTCATTCTCAAGCGATCCTGAATCCCATTCGAGCTACCACGCTTCTCCCAATCCTGAATTCTTCAAGTAACAATTCGCAAATAATCGCAAAGGATTTTACGATTTCTTTAATAAACCAACTTGATTCCATCGATTATCGAAGGAAACGAATATTCTTGCGATATCGCAAGAATATTTCGTTTTTTTTCCTTGATCTATGGAACAACGCGCGCGTTTTAAAAGTTTCACCTTTTCCACCGTTGAATAAATTATCGATAAATCGCCAGTTAAACTTTTACCGCGAAGTCAGGAAAAACGTTTCGTTACATCGTTCCCTTCATTGGTCCAAAAGTAATTAAAATAAACCAGATAAAATAGAGGATTACACGTCGAATTAAACTCTCATCTTACGCGCCTTCTTTGCTAACAAATTATCCATCAATTTTCGCGCGAACGAAAAATTCTTTAGAATCGAAGAAGCTTCTCCATATAGTTTTTCATCGTTTCGAAATAGTGATTAAGAATAAAAAGCGCGTAAAATTTCCTTTTAATCATCGTATTATCCATTCATCGAAATTGTTGGTAGGTCAAAACTGCGATAATTTCGCAGATTTATTTGCATCGCATTCCTCGAGGTCGCTCGAGGTTGCAGGTGTGATCGAGAAAGTAATCGATCGGATAGGCATCTCGTGGAAAAGTTCAATTCTCCGGCGCCAGAGTGGTCAGAGGTGGGAGTGGAAAATGGCGAATACGCAGGTCTCACGCGTGTAATAATAATAATGATGAGGGTTGTTACACCGCGGGACACCTGGTACTCGATTCGCGCCACGCTTTGGAAAGGTAACTCGCGAACGATGATATATGCCGGCGCAAAAGTTGACCTCCCAGACACCGGTGGAGACGCCTTTTGAAACAATACCGACCACGACGCGTTTCTCTCTATCGAAGCTATCCTCTCTGAACGAGGTGATCGCGAGGTGAGCGCGTGGGCCGATTTCTTGGATCTGCCCAAGTCGTTTACCACTGTCGGTGACTTAATTTCGATGCTTCGTCGTTGAGCTAACTTTCATCGCGATGAATTCTAGAACTTGCTTGAGAAGGTAAACGTTAAAATAATTTTAGGAGTCGTGCAATTTTGTGAAATATTTTTGGCCATTTAAATTTTCGGGATTGAATCTATCCAAGTCGTTTAGTATTGTCGGTGATTTAATTTCAATGTTTCGTCGTTGAATAACTTTCATCTCGATGAATTCTAGAACTTGCTTGAGAAGTTAAAATAATTGTAGAAGTCGTGCAACAATTTTGTGAAATATTTTTGGCCATTTAAATTTTCGAGACTGAATCTACCTAGGTCGTTTAATTATCGATAATTTCGATGCTTCGTCGTTAAGTAACTTTTATCGCGATGAAACTTCTAGAATTTGAAAACATAAACATTAAAATAATTGTAGAAGTCGTGCAATAATTTTGTGAAATATTTTTGGCCATTTAAATTTTCGGGATTGAATCTATCTAAATCGTTTAGTATTGTCGGTGATTTAATTTCGATGCTTCGTCGTTGAATAACTTTCATCGCGATGAATTCTAGAACTTGCTTGAGAAGATAAATGTTAAAATAATTTTAGAAGTAATAATTTTGTAAAATATTTTGGTTATTTAAATTTTCGGGATTGGATTTGTCCAAGTCGTTTAGCATTGTCGATGACTTAATTTCGATGCTTCGTCGTTGAGCTAACTTTCATCGCGATGAATTCTAGAACTTGCTTGAGAAGGTAAACGTTAAAATAATTTTAGAAGTAATAATTTTGTAAAATATTTTGGTTATTTAAATTTTTGGGATTGGATTTGTCCAAATCGTTTAGCATTGTCGGTGATTTAATTTCGATGCTTCGTTGTTGAGTAACTTTCATCGCGATGAATTCTAGAATTTGTTTGAGAAGATAAACGTTAAAATAATTTTAGAAGTAATAATTTTGTAAAATATTTTGGTTATTTAAATTTTTGGGATTGGATTTGTCCAAGTCGTTTAGCATTGTCGGTGATTTAATTTCGATGCTTCGTCGTTGAATAACTTTCATCGCGATGAATTCTAGAACTTGCTTGAGAAGGTAAACGTTAAAATAATTTTAGGAGTCGTGCAACAATTTTGTGAAATATTTTTGGCCATTTAAATTTTCGGGATTGAATCTGTCCAAGTCGTTTAGTATTGTCGGTGATTTAATTTCGATGTTTCGTCGTTGAGTAACTTTCATCGCGATGAATTCTAGAACTTGCTTGAGAAGGTAAACGTTAAAATAATTTTAGGAGTCGTGCAACAATTTTGTGAAATATTTTTGGCCATTTAAATTTTCGGGATTAGATCTATCCAAATCATTTAGCATTGTCGGTGATTTAATTTCGATGCTTCGTCATTAAATAACTTTCATCACGATGAATTCTACTACTAGAACTTATTTGAGAAGATAAATTTTAAAATAATTTTAGGAATCGTGCAATTTTGTAAAATATTTTTGGCCATTTAAATTTTTTTTTCGGGATTAGATTTGTCCAAGTCGTTTAGCATTGTCGATGATTTAATTTCGATTCGTCGTTGAATAACTTTCATCGCGATGAAACTTCTAGAATTTGAAAACATAAACATTAAAATAATTGTAGAAGTCGTGCAATAATTTTGTGAAGTATTTTTGGTCATTTAAATTTTCGGGATTGAATCTATCTAAATCGTTTAGTATTGTCGGTGATTTAATTTCGATGCTTCGTTGTTGAGTAACTTTCATCGCGATGAATTTTAGAACTTATTTGAGAAGATAAATTTTAAAATAATTTTAGGAGTCGTGCAACAATTTTGTAAAATATTTTTGGCCATTTAAATTTTCGGGATTAGATTTGTCCAAGTCGTTTAGCATTGTCGGTGATTTAATTTTAATGCTTCGTCGTTGAATAATTTTCATCGCGATGAAACTTCTAAAATTTGAAAAGGTAAACGTTAAAATAATTAGAAGTCGTGCAAGAATTTTGTAAAATATTTTAACCATTTAAATCTTCGGGATTAGATTTGCAACGTTAAAATAATTAAGAGCCGTGCAACAATTTTGTGAAATATTTTTGGCCACTTAAATTTTCGGGATTGAATCCAAGTCGTTTAGCATTGTCGGTGATTTAATTTCGATGCTTCATCGTTGAGTAACTTTCATCGCGATGAAACTTCTAGAAGATAAACGTTAAAATAATTAAAAGTCGTGCAACAATTTTATAAAATATTTTGGCCATTTAAATTTTCGGAATTCATTTATTCGACAATTGATTGATTGTCATAATCGTAATATATGTGAGTATTTCAAGTGTTGAGCATGAGACAAATTGCAAGTTAGCGATAAAGATTTAATCAAACGTATTTTTCTTCGTACGTATGGCGAGAGAAAGCGTGGATTTGAAGGTAATAAGTCAGCTATCGCGATCGTGTATCGTTGCAATACCGCAATGCCCTAGAGTTCTTAACCTTGGCGCGTTATATGGGTTCGCGATTATCGTATTATCGAGTGGTGAATGAGTCGTGCTTGTACACCATACACGCGGGCGGCAATCTTACGTTTCTTCGTAATAAATCTAATTTTTCTAAATCTAGATTACAATCTATATTTCTTCACTTTTCAATCACCTCAATAATAATCTTTAAAAAACTATTTCGATAATCGAACAAACCTTCTCTTCTGCAATCGGTGTGAATTACTCTCGATAAACGTTTATTTGAATTTCTATTTTAATCCGCTGGAACGACGAGAGGCAAAATGGTGAAAAAAAAATACTAGCATTAGAGGCTACGGTTATCGCTGCTATCGGACATGATAGATGGAGGGCGGTGGCACGATAAATCACCGGATCACGGTTCGAAGAGGATCTACGGACGATCTATTCCGCGGTCGATCCGTCGATCAGCGGCCGGAACACGCCGGATTTCGTTGATAACCATCGACGACGAAAGTATTAATTATTATTTACCGGTCGTGCCTTTCAATTCATTTTGCCCGCTTCGATATCGTTTCGCTTTGCGCTGCGAAAATGACGAAACACCGCTCCAACGATTTCACTCGACGCAGATAAATCACCGCTTTGGGATTCCGCTTTTACCGTGTTAAATCCCTTCGTCGATGATGGAGGATAGGAATACAGGCGTGGAAAGCGAAAGGAATTGCGATAAGGAAAAGATTTTTCGAATGTAGGGGAATGATATTTTGATTTTAATTGTTTCGTTGGAAAATATTTTTCAAAGACAACACAAGACGAGATTCGCGTTCATCACGAGTTGAATTTCGAACAATTTCAAATCTACATTTGAATCGTGACGAATGAAGGAAAATTGCTTTCCATCCAAGAAAGAAGATTCGCAGAATTTTTCTTTCAATCTGACACACCGAGTTTATAATTGACGTGCTCGTGGTTTCAAGAGATGATTAAAATTCATCGGAAAATTAGTTACACGAATACAGGAAAGAAACGCGTTAATTACAAGGAAAAATTGTTTCGAACGTATTCTACGAAGTACTTCTACAGAGAGAGAGAGACAGAGAGAGAAATGTAGGTTAAAATGATTTTGTTATTTCTGTGGGCTACGTTATCTAGAGGGCCGCTTACAGAACTTCATTTGTCGACGCCGGTTTTCCGATCGCTACTTCTTTAGTTCGTGGACCGTGAACGAGTATTCCAGAAATAACACTCGACGCCCGCAGCGACGTGTGAACACCTAGTAATTTTGCAACGGGCGATTTTTCAGCCTATATTTAATGAGGCCTCGTTCCGACCAACGCCACGCTCACGAGTTTAATTTTGAACATCGCGAGGGAGATGAAATTGTAACGTTGTTGCGAAGGGGGAGGGAGAGAGAGAGAAAAAAGAGGAGAAGGTCGACGTATCGTAAGTTAAGAAGTTAACGCTAATTATGAGCTTAAAACCACCGCGGAAAACGAGTTCAAAGGGGGGACTCTCGAGGCCTGGAGGGTGGATGCTAAGCGTAGCTTCCTAATTGGCCTCTAAAGTGCAGTCGCACTTTTTCCACCTGGCATCAATTCGCACGAACGAGTTTCTTACCTTATAATTTCGTTTCAACTGTTGTAACTCAATCAACTCCTTGTCAAAAGGGGAGAAATTTCACGGAGAACTTGGTGTTTCGCCATTCTTTTTCTTCCTCTATCTTCAATCCTATAATTAATAAACTTCGTCAGAAGAACTTGAAGATTTTTATCAGAAACATTTTTAACAAAATTTTATATAGAAAGTGACGTTGGGATTTGTTGGGAATGACGGAAGAAAGATTGGAACATTTTACAGAGCCAGTAGAAATTCGTTTGAGCAGATGTTCGCTCCATGATCACGAACCCCTTCTAGCGACACTTTTATTGCTGTTTTTCGAAATTGGCCTTACGATGTCGTCGAGGTGATTTCTCTTAATTACACGTTTAAAATCCTCCGAGCTCTAACGACATAATCGTCCGTGTAATGACAGGTTGACTACGCCGAGTACAAGCACCGCTGTCACTGTTACGGTGTTTATTGAATTAGTTAATCATATAGGAGCAATAGCTACGTTCCGGCAAGTGGTGCCAAGCCGTTCGTGTCTGATAATTTGGCATGTCTTTCCTTTTCTTGGCCAATCGTTTCGTTACATCTTAATTCGCGAGCTATTTCGATTGAAAATCTTGTGCGTTATTATCGCGAATATTTTTCGGTATTTTATTTCGCGTACTTTTCCCCCATAAATTATTATCGCTGGAAATTGAATATCGATAGATCTTTTGAATCTCAAATTTTATTTATGAGGCGCGCCCTTCGTAACAGGATATGTTGAAATATTTCTGAAAGATCACCAGGATTGACTGTGAGTGCTTATCAAGTCATTAGGTCGCAGCCAGTACGTTCCGCGCAACGTTTGCTTAACCCGTTTCTTAGATTTCCGAACTCTTCTCGAAACGAAAATAGAAAGAGCCGCAAGGGAAAGCAAATCATTTTCCACCCAAGCGTAACAAAAACCAACCTTCCACACAATAATCAAAGAATCGAAAGTTAATTATTACGTAGCAAGGATTTGAAGAAAAGAAAAGAAATACGAAGACTTGCTTCTAACACCATTGTTAGAAGAGATAATTCATTTTATCTCAAGATTGAAATCAATATTTCACAATTTTCAAATTTAATTTAAAAGAACAAGAATTCCAATTGATCCGGTCACAAAAGGAACCCCTTTTTCGAACAAGGGACCTGACCGATCCACGTCGATACGGATCTCAAGAAAAAAAAACCTCCATCAAAGAAGAAAGTCTTTGAAAAGACTACCACCTTCGCAACGCGTTATTTCTTTCTAAAAATCCTCTCTGGGAAAGCATGAAGCGTCTTACAATAGCCGTTTCAGAATCGGATCCAGACGTCCAGCCGCAAAATTCACGCTTCTCCACCGGAGAAAAGAGAAAGAAACACTGATACATCTCTGCACGTATAACGAGATATCAATACATCGTCGATTGAACACGGTGTTCCAAAGGTGATCCCACCAGGTTTCTAATTCCCCTGTAGCGGCGACAACGGTGGATCGAGCGTTGTTCGCTACTCCTACGTTCGTAATCCTGTGTTCCACGCCGGTGTTTCACCGTCGTTCCGCACGAGCGACCTGTACACGATCCTGTTGCGCCGGGGAAAAGGTAGCCGGTGCGCGCAGCACGTAGGAAGTAAACACGCTGCACTTCAACCGGACCACGGAAATCAACGACAGGTCACCTGGCAAAAAAAAAAAGAAAAAAATAGAACCTCGACCAACGATTGCGGATGAAACGAGATGCGCCGTGATGATACGCGGTGGTGATAGAGTGGACAAGTTGTGGCGCGATCCAATCGCGATATTATGAATGTTGCGTCGACGTTGGAAAAAGTATTGATCTAGTTTTACGGTACACGGATCGATCGTGATCGATCGAATGGTTCAAATGAATTTCAAAGAAAAAGCGTCAAGAAAAATTTTCTTCATTATTTAAAATTCTTACATTATTTAAAATTTTGCTACCTCGTCTGAAATTAGACAGAGAGATTTTTGCTATGAATATTCGTAAACTGGTGCGATACAATGCGTTCAATTATCACCAACTTTCCATCTTTTCCAACGTTTCGCGCATAGAAATCTTACGCAACCCGTAGAGAACACCGCTCGTGCAAGTCCTGGGGCGTTGAAATCTCCATTACCGCGGCCCTTCTCAATAAGAACTATCCTTACGCGATTAACGTAACGGCGCACGAATCTGTAGAAATCTGCACGCAGGAAGCTTTGAAAACTTTCTACAAATGTTTTAACCAATTTTATATGTCGATTCTACTCGCCTATGCACTCGTCTCCATCGCGTTTTCTCGCCACGGTTGCGATACCGTGAAGCGGTGATCGAAGCGCACGGTCGAACGCGTACGGCGCGGAAAGACGCCCGGAGGTCCCCATTGTGCTCGTAATCTAGATCGGGGATTACTTTTATCATTGGCAGCCAGTCGACCCGTTCGTTAGGCACGCGGTGCGCGTGTAACGATCGCCTTTATGCGGCGTGAAAACCGCTCGCGTAACAGTTCCACGATCGTTCCGCAATAATGATAAAGAGCGTTTCTAGGATTAGACGTAACGTAGCAGGGAAAATTCTTTGATAAATCTTTTGTAAAATTTGAAAAAAAAAATTTTCTAAGTAGAAATTATTCCGGATAGACGAATGGACAGAGTTTTATGCGGGTGAATAAAATTTTAACCAAGTCACAATGCTTGAAATTTCGTATGTAACGACTTAATAAATAACAGGTTAATGGGTAATGCGATGGTTATAAATAGAGATTAGATTATATTCTACTCTCTATTATATACTTTGTGCTTGCTAACGAAATTATTATTATTATAAATTTGTGCTTTCTACGAAATTTATATTATCGAAATGTTGGTTGATCGGGGGGAGAAAGGAAACGTTGCAATGAAATTCTAGATTGGATATGATGGCGAGCATATATAATCGGTGATCGATGATCGACAGCTACAATTCGCGCGGAGAAATTTCACCACCCTCTCGAATACGATACGATCTCTATCGCCAAGTCGATCTAATATTGGTTCTAAGTCGATTGGCTTATTTGCGACCCGTTGATAATAGGCGATAGAAACGATGGAATCTGTAATAGGCGTATACGCGGCTAATTCAGATCGAAGGGTATCATGGGAAGTTAAAAATGGAATACCGACACGTATTCCGTCTTAAGGAAATCGGGTGGAATGTTGTCCGGCCTGTGAAACAGGTGAATTGTCCGTTTTTGTTGCTACACTTATTGTTCCAGTAATTCCCTTTCGAGTGTAATTTTCAACGTGTAACGTAACGATTTGCGAGCGATTATTACGCACCGAAATAGATATACCGGATATACATTGTTGCGTAATTGTACTCCGTTCTCCGTGAAACCTATTTTCCATTGGCGGAATTTTTGTAAAAATTCTCCGTCGCGAATTATTTCACGTGACGGACCACATCGCGGAATAATTTGAAAAATAAAATCGATAAAATAAATTTTCGAGTTAACCAGATCGTTTACAAGGTTTCACTTTCTACCGGGAGAAAATATGATTTCACGGAAATCGTAAGGGGAACATAAAAATGTTAATAAATACGTGATCGGAGAAAAAAATGATTGCCGGCCAATTAAGGACTAATTCACCGCTTAATCGGGCCCATTCATCTCTCCACCCTCTCCACTTAATAACCGTCTCTCTGTCCTGTAATTTTCATACGAAATTTCGCCGCCACCGTGTCGAAGAGCGTTTACGGCCCATGCAAATAACGGCCACGTGACGGCCTCGTGTTCCACCACGTTTACAGAATGTTGATCGATTATCGGTGCACCTGGGAACGGTCGATTATCTCCGCCAGGGGTTTAATTAATTTTCTGGAATCGCGGTAACGGTGTAAGCGATCGGTTTTCCACGGGGACAGGTAAATTGTGCGCAGAAACGGAGAGGAGGGCGACAGAAAGAGACAGGGAGGGAGGCGCCATGCGGAGGCGGAAAATATCGCCTTCTGGCGAAACGGGTTCCTCAGATTAACCCACACACGCACGCGTGCACGCAGATCGATCTTTTGCGAAACACGAGCAATAATAATGTCCACTGTGGTGCACTGGACTCTGGATCCAGGTATCCAGACATCCGAGTTGCGTGTAGAGAAACTCTCAATATCGTTCCTTCCCGAGAAGCGATCGCAAACGCTCGGCTCCTTTCGTCGATTAACTTTTAACCAATGGACGATCGACCCGACGTGACAAATCAATTATAACATAACGCTGAGAGATAGAAAGTCGTCCTATCGAATTGGTTTTCGAGCTGCGTCGAGCTGCATGCTCGAATATCGTTGCCGTTCGCGCGGTCGATTTCGAAGCAGGATTGTCGAAATGAGTTGCTACCTTGCTCGTCGTGCGTGGAATTTCTGGCTAAACCTGTCCACGAACGTATCTTCGATGAAGACATTTAACGAGCTTGCTGGCGGGGATTTCTTAGAATTTGACTCGTTGCTAACCTTTGGACAATTTATTCGACGCGTGTATCTAAATATATAGTCGGAGATAACGCATAAACGATATTATACTATTCGTTTAATAATATATGTATGGAAGGGAAACGAAACTTTAAGAGTGTTTTAACGTACATAACCTGTAAGGTTCAATCGAGTTATTAGTATACTTTCAATTTTCTCGCGATATTCCGTGCATACTACGTAAGTTAGATCCGAGGGAACAAACTAATTATTTTACCACGCGAAAACAAAACGAAAAGTCGTTATGGGCCGATGCCAAAAAATTCCAAAAAAATACTCGCGGCAATGCAGAGAAACGAGCCGAAAGCCGTGTGCGAAATATTATCAAAATATCGTCTTATCTTTCCGACTTGATTAACCACGATTTCTCTCCCCCGGCGTATTAATTTAATTATCGGCGACAAGAAAGCCCATAACACTTCACCGACCCCGTTTCCTCGCGCAAACAACGCATAACATGATAATCAAGCCTTATATTATACCTCACGATATCAACGGTTGACATGATTTCTCGATGACGAAGATAACGCACGCGGATTACAATGATTATCGCATCATCGGCGTTTCGTCACGCGACTCGATTCTACCCCGAGGCCGAGCGTGGGCGGT